CGTTACGTTCAGTGTTCCTTCGCGCTTACGGCCAAAGACTCGTGTATACGCGACGCCTCGTGTCACACGTAACTCGTCCTCTCTCCCTCCCCGTCTACGCTTTTACGAAGAACCCCGGGGAGAAAGGATTCCGAGAGAGTTGAGGGAAAAAGAGCTGCGCGATAGATAGGCGAGAGCAATAATCGTGCATCGTTTGGCGGTCTACGAGCTTCCTGAATTTCCCGCGGCCGAAAGTAACGAGCTTCGCACGGCTGCGCCGTCACTTTAGTGGACTGACTTGACTTTGTCCAACGATTCGGACTGTTTTCGGTGGTGTTTGTGTATACCGTACATGGCGTCGTAGGATTCGGACTGTAAATAATCGGTGTGTATCGGCAGAGCTATGGCCGCTTCCTCGATCGCTCGCGAAAGAACAGTTACTGGTTGTGCGCGCGTGTAGAACCGCCATTGTCCCAAGATCGAAGAGGCGAAACTTTTTTACCGATCGCCGGGGACGAGCAGGAGCGCGAGTTGCGCGCGCTCTCCTCGATCTGTAGTCAATAGTGAATCGTGTGCGGGACGCGACAAGTTCATCGCGATAGTATTCGCTCTTTTCACTTTTTCTTCCGTTCGTTTCGATTGATACGAGAAGTCTAAGAGGTGGCTGGCTGGCACAGCGGTCGTCGTGGCACGCGGTTCGTCGCTGTACGACCAAGTTTGTTTACGTTTTTTCGGTGACTCGAAAGAAGTTTGTGTGCGTCGTAGTGAACGCGGGAAAAGGGGCAGACGGTTGAGGTTACGGGACTGTCAACGATCGAGTGAGTGAGGAAAGCACACTGGCGTGCATCGGGAGTTTGTCCTGTGTCGCCTGCGTCTCGATTGGAAGTTTCGAATCTTCGCGAAAAGGTAAGGGCAAGAAGAAACGAGTAATACGGTGTGTATCAACGCGATGTCGATTAAGTGATAGGATAGAAACGCCATGAACGACGACCATTCAAAGGTTACGTTTGCCTCCATGATTAGTGACAGTTAAAGGTGGCGGTAAAGTCGAACGCGTTTGAATGCCACCTACACGAGTCTGTTTGACGAACACGGACCGCGCGGGACGCGAAGCAATAATAGTGATTTAACGAAAGCGGCTGCGATCGAATGTCTGGCTTGTGGATTACCTAACAGAATCTTTTCTCCGGGTAAAAGCGAATCTCGTCGCTGGCGTGATAGTGATGGTGGTGGTGGTGGTGGTGGCGGTGGCTCGCCCGGTCGGGGTGAAAATGAGCAACCGGACGGTAATCGCATACGATCAAGGAAGTGATCACGCATTATGGTTCGGTGTACCACGAGATATCGGTTTACATAAAAACGATTAAATTCTATGGTGTACGCTCGGTTTTCTGCGTCACTTTATGGACGCAATTGTAAATAGCGTTTTACGAATCGATACGCCTCTCTCGCTCTCTCTTTCGTTGTGTGTTTGCGCGCGCGATCCCTTCCTGCTATCTCCGTCTCACGGCGACCGTAGCGTAGCTCGCGTTACTATTGTATCGATTATATAAAATTATCGTAACCGTCTCTGGGACGATTCGAGCAAAAGATAACGGGCGGTCTGTGCAACACGTATCGATCCTTATCTCTGCAAAGGGAATTGCAGTATCGGTTGAAAACTGGTTAAAAAGAGTCAGATTTGGAAGTTACGTATCTGTCGTAGATATAAAGGAAAGCTTCGATCCCTCTCGGTTCCAACCGATATCGTTGGCCGGTTCGGCTGTCGTAATTTCACTCGGCTGCACGCGCGAGTATGACATGTAAACAGATGAAGCGGCCGAATTCGTAGATCGCGTATGCACTTGTGAATGTTCTCACGCATGCAGAAATAAGACGCATCTATATTTTATCCAAGTATTTTCAGTCTAGGCCAACCTTCGATCAATCCCTCCTCGTCTTTCTTTTTTCACCCTTCTCTCTTTCTCTTGGGAACCCTCCTCTCGTCCGTTCCTCGGTTGGCTTCAACTCAGAAAGACTTCGCGACTCTTTAATATACTTAAGAGGTTTATAGTGGCGCGCACGAGTTTCGCGTTCCCTCTCTCTGCCGCCTTCTCTAATTCTCTAGTGCGCGACGACCGGTTACGTGGCGACCTTCGTCGTTACCCAGGGCCGAGGGCCAAAACCGTCTGCTGTGTGTTTAGTATCGCGCCGCCACCGCCGCCGCGCCGGCATAACGTTCGATAAATATTGAGATGCCGGGCCGCGCGGCATAAGGGCCCCGTAGCCTCGCGCCCCATATAAACCAACGTCCCTGAAGTTTGCTACCACGTGGAGCAACTCCGTAACCTCCTCCTACCTTCCACTCCTCCGCCACTCCATTTACTCTAGCTACGTCTCTTAATCCTTTCCTCTCACGCAGATAACCCGCGATCCAGTCTCCCCTCCCCCCTCCCCCCTTTCTCTCCTTTCTCCGAGATACATTCCTGTTTCGTAACCGAGAACGATCGACGCTGTTTAATATTCTTACGAACTTTCCAAGAAATTAAAGATTCCCGCCAAAATTTCAATGTCGAATATGTACAAGTTGTTAACGTATCGTTGGAAGAAGGGTTGAACGCATCGATCTCCTCTGATCAAATTTTTCATTCTCTTATGACACAGCAATCACGCGTGTTCGATAATATCGCGGCACACGTAACCGCTGGCTTTCAAGAGCAGTCGTTGCATCTGTGTTTGCCTTATCGTGCTTGTATATGCACACACACACACAGCCAGGCGATATCCAAAAATAATATCGAACTGTGGTAGTAAACGTGTGTCGTCAGAGCGTTGCAATTATTTTTTGCCGCCAAAGGAAAGCAACCGCGATTGTGTACCTCTCTCGATTCTATTTAATTATTACCGCACACGTCCGTTTAAATCGAATCATGTTGCACACGACGAGAGAATCGAAAGACAGAGAGGAGCGCCGCGCAGGTCCTGGAAATATAGGTCGCTAGGTTGCTGCACCTGTCCCTCTGCTGTGACGCAGGAAACGATTTGAACGCGCCTCAATTTTCCCTTCCTTGTCTTTGTCTCCGAAAAAGCTAACCGAAACGGACAAGGAGAGGATTCGAGCTACCTTGAATGTGTCTCGGTAAAAGTAAATGACCTTAGAACGCGAAGCTGAAGAGAAAAAGAGGCGTACGTGTGACCTATCGCGGTGGCTCTAGGTTTACGAACTCGAATTGGGCCGGAGCCTTGACTCTCTCGAGCATTCTATATTGGCAATGTTCTGGTAGACAGAGAGAGAGAGAGAGAGCGAAGGGGGAGGACCCGAAGCGTTGGGCCCACTTCTCTCTTCCCTCTCCCCTCCATCTTTTTCGAGCATATCCGCCCCTGGTTCGTTCATACGTACCAACGACCTTCGAGAGTCTCGCTGTGGGCCCCACGAAGCGGACCTAACCTTTCTCGAGGCGCGCAGGGCCCCTGCCTTCTCGTGTGCCCTCTTGTTGCTCGCTTCGCGTAACACACCGGGGAACCATCGCCCTGTGTAGGTTGCCCCCCTGGCAGTGAGTCCATGAAAAACGCGGTCATGGTCAAGGGTATGTCGGAGACCCTAGGAGAATACGAAAATTCCACGGTATTGCCTCTCGTGTCCCGTTCAAACACGCCCATTATCTCGTAAAGGTGGATTAACCCTTTCGTTACGTAGTAACTGAATGGCCATTTTTTCTTTTTATCTTGTATTGTGAAATTCTTCGGTGTCCTTTGCATACGATCAGCTAGAGTCGTGGTAACAGTTTAACTAGCCTAAGGGTTAATTATCGGGAAGAGTAGAAACTGGATTGAAGAGAGATGGCGAGAATCGTGAATCATTGGCGAACACGTAATATGTATGTATATCGCGGCAAGTATCTACAGACCTCTCGTATGCAGCTGGATAACAGGCGCGATCGTACAGTGGCGAAGCATGAAACGATCAGTTTTTCGGTTTGATAAACATCCAGTTTATATATTGTTGCTTCAGGCATCCAATTAGGAAAAGTCGTTCATGTTGTTTCGTTAATTATGAGGCAAGAATAATGCTGAATCAAATGTTATTGTTGCGTCGATTAAACAATTATTCTTCGGTTGAGTTTAGCTCTCTCACCTTGGGACGGTTTACCTTCAAAACAGCAGAACGGTACGGTTAAGTAGATGCCCATTAAAAACGAGTGGCTTTGTGTTTGTTGCTTTATGTACATACGTGTGTATATATCGTACGCGATTTAAGTGTGCGAGATTTAAAACACTGTACGAAAAATATTATTTCGACAACACGATTGAACAACTCTCTCTGTGTGTAACGTTCACGATGCGAAATAACAACCGTGATTGATAAATTGACGATGCAAGAGGTTGGCGAAATAGTAGATACACGTGGAATTCACCTGTTGCACGGTAACATTATCACGGCGAAATAAAAGAAGAAAACGAAATTTATAGTTTTATCGAATACCACGTGAATAGTTATCGCGACACGTGTATCTCCTTATCTCGCAACATCCAATGCAGAAAGAATACGTTTGTTTGCTCGGATCCTTTTTGTTTGCCTTACCGCGTCATTCATTATGCAACCCGCGAGCCAAAATAATTTCTGTCCCCGAAGAATCTTGCCAAAAGGGTGTAGAGAAAACACCGCTACATGTGTACTATTTTCTTTTTTTAAATCATTCACGACTACGAAACGTCGGGCGCCTATAGTCGGAAGTTAATGGTTCTCCCATTCATGGTTCCCCCGAAAAAAAGTACACGAGCTGGACGGTTTATTAGCGCCTCGAGGAAGCGTCCAGGTCAACGTCTAAATAACCGAAGGTGGAAATAGAAGCGGCGTGGACGCGTGCACGGAATTTCTAGCTGGCGATTCTGATGTCACAGGCTTGTCCATCGGTGAGAGATCGTTTAACTTGGCACTCTGTGGCCCTAGCCGCCGACGACTACTCTCGCAGCGTAATAAAAGCGGAAGGCTGGTGAGCTTGGAAGGCCGCTTTTGCAGTTACACTATCTTATGCTCTATTCGAGTTAACTCGCTGTGATTCTCTCAGTAATGCCATTCTCGTTTCCCTTTCCTTCGCTGTATTCGTAGTCTATTCACGATCAGGATCGTACGGCGACGTGACTCCGCTCAGACGTCCAACTGACCGTTTTTCGTATGCATAATGTCTCTCTCCTCCTCCTCCTCCTCTTCTTCGTCTTCGTCGCCTTCTTCTTCTTCTGCCTCCTCCTTTCTCTCGTGTTCGTTATCACGAATTAGGATCGTTGATCGTCGTCGAAATTCGAGCACGCGATGGAATCGTTCGATCGGATGATCCTTTAAGATTAAACCGGTTTGACGATGCAGGAAATGGGCAGCAGCGAGCAACACGTACAGGCAACAAAGTATCAGGCTCATAATGAAAAAGTTATATCGGAAGCGACCGGGCTATTTTTAAGCGTAACTGGGACCCAGGATCGTTGCGGCTTTTACGAGTCCTATTTATTTCCGTTATAAATACATGCGTGTCTCTCGTAGTGCCTCGTAATTTCCTCTTCTACACGATTCTTCGTGCATTGTATCGCTAATGAAACGCTCGTTATAGAAGGATAATAGTAGCGCTCTAATCGAGACGAAGTGGACACAGTGTGTTGCACGGTACGATCGTAAAATCTCGTCTGATTATGCATAGAATTAACGAAATACCTCTGTGCGTGTACCTATATACACGCTGCTCTCTAAACGAATTACACTTGGTGAATGGGTTTGTAGAATGTGGTGTTTTTTTTGGAAGAAGGAATAAAATTGAACAGTATCGAAGATACGAAATTTAATTTATCACCAAGTAATACAGAGATATTTCAAACGCTAAGGTATTTACCATACGTAATAGCGTGAATCTTCCTGATCACTTATTCTACTGGCGTGG